AAAACAAAAGAGAGAGGGAAAACAAAAGGAAAACTCCTGGGTACAGAAAAAAGACTTTTTCTTACATTTTAAAAAATATACATGACTTTAAAATAAAAGTTACAATATTGTCTTGCTGGTTTTTCAATATGTGTGTACATATAATACGAAAACTATAAAAAAAAAAAGATTTCCTGGTTATGGCAAGAGGGACGTGTACGGTTGAAAGATTTCTACGTTCTCTGGGTTTCAAACGTCCAAGAACAATTGCTTCCTTCCCTGGAGCCTCTGGGTGGATGCAAACTGCCAACCTACTGGTTAGCAGTCAAGTGTTTCACCATTCATACCATCCATGGATTTGTGTATCTTTATTGTTAAGTGCTGTCATGTCAGTTCCGACTCATTGCAATCTTGTGTCAAACAATTGCTTCCTAAATGAGGTATGTGCTCACCTCCAGAAGTTCATCATGATATACTTGGCACATTTTCCAGGATCACAGTTTTGGGTGGATAATCTGGGTAAAATCATTTACTTTTTTCCTATTGTCTATAAGTATTGTTACATACATGTATAGACAATACCACTTTTATATTAAAATGAAATTGACTTCTCTCATTTCTCAGCTATAGTTCCAGAACCTTGGACAGAGCCAGGGACTTAATAGTATGTGCTCATTCTGTAGAATGAGTACATAAATGAATATATATTCTAAAGAGCAAAATGCAAAATGTCCATAGACGTTCAGAATAAAAAAGATTCCAGAGAAATCTCTCCTGTGCTGTTGATCATCTTTGAGTCTCTAGCTAGACTGTGGTGGGAGATGTATGTCCCCATTTTTGACTCTTAGAGGAACATAGATCAGAAGGTTCAATTTAGCTTGACCACTTTCAACTTTGAGCCCAGGTGTGACACTGTTGGATAAGCACTAGACGATAACTACAGGTCAGCAGTTAAAACTAACCAGCTGCTTCACTGAAACCCTATATAGGGTCTTTATGAGTCAGAACTCCTCAATGGCACACAACACACACACCTCTAACTCTGGGGTAAGGCATTGCTATGAATCTTCCACCCCAACTTGGTTGCCTACTAGATAGTAGGTAGCATTCTTTATAACAATTGCTATCAAACACCCTTGATCTACATAGCTCCTGTCCTCACATTGACCTTGACCTCTTTGGGGTCTTCTGCTTTTCAATTTGAATCATTGGTTGCTTATCTCTTCCCTTCTTCCCTGGATTCTGCTAATCATCTGAGCTGGCAACTCTATTGATACAGGTTAAGTTGGGCTGTTATGCATCCCCAAAGAGAAATTCAGTTTCTATAAGCCTTCAAAGGCTCTATACTCCATAAGCTTTTCCTATTTAATTTTTGAGAATTATAGTGTGTAAGAGCAGCTCAGACAACAGAACCCTCCTGATTGAGTTGGTACTCAGCCTGGAACCACAATACTCTCATAAGTAAAATGGGGTTGATTCACTTTAGATCAGTTATGTATTACATGAGCATGTAGCATATAATGCATGGCAAACTCTCAAGAAATTTACCCATCACTGTTAAGTTGATTCTGACTCATAGAAAACTTAAGACAGAGTACAATTGCTCCAAAGGGTTTCCAATGCTGTTATTTTTATGAACCAAGATTGTTACATCTTCCTCCTGCCAGCCTTTCATTTAGCAGCTCAATGCTTAACCAATGTCTATCACACATTCTAAATTTTTCACATTCAGAAGTGCAGTCTAATCCCTGCCCCCCTTGAAATATGGACTGGCTTTAGTGACTTGCCTACATAGAATGTAGCGGAAGTGAGGCTTCTTGACTTCTGAGGCTGTCATGAAAGGGGACATTGTTTCTGTATGGCACTTGCTCTATCTAGCTATCTATTTAGTCTCATGAAAAGGTCAGGTATAAGTTCTGATCTAACTGCAATTTGAGTTTAGCTAGCATCAATATCTTAGGCATTAGTGAGCTGAAATGGACTGGTACTGGCCATTCTGAATCTGACAACCACATGGTTTACTATGCCGGGAATGACAAATTAAAGAGGAATGCTCTTGCATTCATTGTCAAAAAGAACATATACAGATCAGTCATGAATGAGATACAACCCTGTCTGCGATAGGATAATATCCATGCACCTACAGGGAAGCCCAGTTAATACCACTATTATTCAAATTCATGCATCAACCACTAAAGCCAGTGAGGATGAAATAGAAGAATTCTACCAACTTCTTCAATCTGAAAATGCTCAAACATGCAATCAAGATGTATTGACCCTTACTGGTGATTGGAATGCAAAGGTTGGGAACAAAGAGGAAGGATCAGTAGTTGAAAAACATGGCCTTGGTGATAGAAATGATGCTGGAGATCGCATGGTAGAATTCTAGAAAATCAATGATTTGTTCATTTCAAATAGCTTCTTTAGACAGCATAAGAGATGAATATACACATGAACTTCACCAGATGGAATACAGAGAAATCAGATTGACTACATCTGTGGAAAGAGATGATGGGAAAGCTCCATATCATCAGTGAAAACAAGGCCGGGGCAGACTGTGGAACAGACCATCAATTACTCATATGCAAATTCAAACTGAAGCTGAAGAAAATGAAAACAAGTCCACGAGAGCCAACATATGACCTTGAATATATCCTCGAGAATTTAGAGGTCATCTGAAGAACAGATTTGATACATTAAACACTAAAGACCGAAGACAGGAAGAGTTGTGGGATGACATCAAGAACATCATACATGAAGAAAGCAAAAAGTCATTGAGAAAACAAGAAAGAAGGAAAAGGTCAAAATGAATGTCAGAAAGGACACTGAAACTTGCTCTCCAGCATAGAGATGGTAAAGCAAATGGAAGAAATAAGGAGGTACAAGAGCTGAACAGAAAATGTCAAAGGTCAGTTCTAGAAGACAAAGCCAAATATTACGATGAAATGTGTAAATATCTGGAGTCAGAACACCAAAAGGAAAGAACATGCTCAGCATTTCTCAAGCTGGGGAAACTGAAGAAAAATTCAAGCCTTGACTTTCGTTATTGAAGGATTCTCTGGGTAAATTATTGAATGATGCAGAAAGTATCAAAAGAAGATGGAAGGAATACACAGAGTCACTGTACCAAAAGAAAATTGTTGATGTTCAACTGTTTCAAGAGGTAGCAATATAATCAAGAGCCAATTATACTGAAGGAAGAAGTTCAAGGTGTGCTGAAGGAATTGGCAAAGAACAAGGCACCAGGAATAAAAATGGAAATCTTTAAAGAAAGTGAGGCAGCACTGGAGGCACTTACTCATCTGTGCCAAGAAATTTGGAAGACAACTATCTGGCCAACTGATTGGAAGAGATCCATATTTGTGCCCATTCCAAAGAGAGTTGACCCAATGGAATGCGGAAATCATTGGAAAATATCTTTGATATCTCATGTGAGTAAAGTTTTACTAAAGGTAATACAGAAACGGCTACAAGCATATATTGATAGAGAACTTCCAGAGGTTCAAGCCAGAAGTGGATGTGAAACGAGGGATATCATTGCTAATGTCCGATGAATCTTGGCTGAAAGCAGAGAATATCAGAAAGATGTTTACCTGTGCTTTATTGACTATGCAAAGGCTTTTGATTGTGTGAATCATGAAAAGCTGTGGACAACATTGTAAAGCATGAGTATTCCTGAACACTAAAAATTATGCTTATGAGGAATCTGTACACGGACCAAGAGGCAGTTGTTCGTACAGAACACAGGAACACTGAATGGTTTAAAATTAAGAAAGTGTGTGACAGGGCTGTATTCTTTGACCATACTTATTCAACCTGCATGCTGAGCATATAATCCGTGAAGCTGGGTTCTATGAAGAAAAACATGGCATCAGGATTGGAGGAAGACTCATTAACAACCTGCGATATGCAGATGATATAACCTTGCTTGCTGAAAATGAAGAGGACTTAAAATACCTACTGATGAAGATCAAAGAGCACAGCATTCAGTATGGATTGCATCTCATTGTAAAGAAAACAAACATCCTTACCACTGGACCTATAAACAACACTCCTATCAACGGAGAAAAGATTGATGCTGTCAAAGACTTCATTCTTCTTGGATCAACTATCAACACTAATGGAAGCAGCAGTCAAGAAATTAAATGACATATTGCCTTTGGCAAATCTGCTACACAAGACTTTGTAAAGTCTTGAAGAGCAAAGATGTCAATTTGAGGACTAAGGTGCACCTGACCCAAGCCATGGTATTTTCAATAACCTCATATGCATGCGAAAGCTGGACAGTGAATGAGGAAAACTGGAGAAGAATTGATGTTTTCAAGTTATAGTCTTGGAGGAGAATATTGAAGTGCCATGGGCTTCCAAAAGAACCAACAGATCTGTGTTGGAAAAAGTACAGCCAGAGTGCTGCTTGGAGGCCAGAATGGCCAAACTTCCTCTCTCATACTTTGGACATATTGTCAGGAGGGACCAGTCACAGGAGAAGGATATCATGTTTGTAAGGTGGAGGGTCAGAGAAAAAGAGGAAGACCCCCCAATGAGATGGATTGGGCAAGTGGCAGCATCAATGGGCTCAAATGTGGCAACAATTGTGGCCCAGGACTGGACAGTGTTTCGTTGTGTTGTGCATAGGGTTGCTATGAGTCAGTACCGACTCGATGGTACCTAACAACAATAGCAACAGCATCAATAGTCAGATATGTAAGTCAAATGACTCCATCCCTAGCTGCTGTCTGACTGCAATGCCATGGGAGACTGCCCCTCAAGTAATCCCACAAACTCCCAGTTGAGCCCAGTCAACTTCCAGAACAAGGAGCGATAATTATAATAATAATAGTAATTTACTTTTGCTATCTTAAGTCACTCAGAAATAGATAAACTGAACACTTAGAAAATGAAACTCAAAATCTGTGACTATAAATCCACTCCCAGCAATCCTTCGAGACTCCAAAACTCCTGACAGGCGACTACTTTCCCCAATCCCGTCTCAGTGACTGCGGTTCACAGGGGTTACTCACCGAGCACTGAAGTCTGAAAGGCTTGGTGGGCGTGGTGAAACTGGCATATTTGATGGGGTCCGGGTACTGTCCATCGTTCCACTGTGCCAGGAGTGCATCCTGGTAGATGGTAACTCTGGCTGTTCCAAGTGCCTCTTCCACTGCGCTTTTCACTGAGTAGTTATTGATACAGGTGATGGTGGAGGTGGACGGAGGCTGCACGAGGTAGATGCTGGAACCTCTGACACCGAGGTTTAAGAGCGTTTCCACCGTGGTGTAAGTGTCAAGTGTGTTCCCATAGACAATGACATTCCCTAGAAAAAGGCAGAAAAATGCTAAGATACACAGTTTTTCAAAAACCTTATTAGCCAAATGCTAATAATTGGGAATTGCTTCCAATAACCCTCTTATTTTCACATTGTAGGGAAGCTAGTGGTGTTACCTAGCAACGGTGACATCCCACAAAGTAGTCAAGTACTTTAAACACAAAAGTAGGACATTCATTTGTGTTCCTATAATTTGAAAGTTGAAATTATGCTGAATAAAAAACTGCATAGCACAAAACCTTGCATCTGGATTTTGTTTCCTACTTGCTATATTTATTAAAGGAATAAAATTACTAAGGTTTGCAATCTATGCAAGTTTTTTTAAAAGATGAAAAAAGCCATTAAAGTAAGCATGCACATGATGTTACTGATGATATTTTAATACTTAAGTATTGAACTGGGTTGATTTTAAGAAAAAAAATTTCCTTCTACGATAAATAAGGACTAGAATAATCTGCTTCTCAACAGATAATTATATAGAAATTCAATTTCTGATTTTTAGTACTTGAAGGGTCAAGAGCTAGCAAGAGACTGACAAAATAATCTTTAAAGGCATACCCAAGTTAGACTGCTAATCTCTCAGTCAGTAGTTTAAAACTACCAGTGGTTCCATGGGGGAAAGAAAAGGCTTTCTGCTCCCATAAAGATTTACAGCCTCAGAAACCCTATATAGGGTCGCTATGAGTCAGACCTGACTCCATGGTATATATCCACAACCAATCACCAAGATAATAACAGCCCAATCAATACATTTATGCTTCTTTAAAATGCTACAGAAATAGTTTGATATGTTATTCTAAAAATTTCATCAGTTTTTAGATCAAGTATGAAAATTAAATGAGTGAAATATTTATGTGCTATTTATGTGCTGTGGTGCAAATGGTTAACATGCTTGGCTGCTAACCAGAATGTTTAAGACTCCAGTCCTTCTAGAAGTCTCTTGAAAGAAAAACCTGGTAATATATTTCCAAAAAACAAAAAGTAGCCATTGAAAATCTTTGGAGTATATGATGGGGATTCAAAAGTTCTTGGGAAGATGCCACCATCTTTTTTTTTTTTTTTTAGCTTTTTACTGTGAATTGTATGATGGTTTACAGAGCAGATCACTTTTCCATTCAACAATTCATATACATTTTGTTTTATCTTATTTATTGTTATCCCCACAATGTTACATTGCTTATCCCACTTCCTCCTTGTGTTTCCTGTTTCCATTCCTCCTGCTTATAATATGTTAGAAGTATGACAGACAAAGTCTGGTTATCTTGGCTTCTAAAACATTCTGCTTGTAGTTCATCCATCATAGATTTGATTGTTCTTCTGACAGTCCTTGGTACGTTTAATATTCTCCTCCAACAGTGTAACTCAAATGCATCAATTCTTCTAAGGTCTTCCTTACTCATTGTTCAACATTCATATTATGGCTTGGGTCAGGCACACCTTAGCCCTCAACCTGACCTCTTTAGTCTTGAACCGTTTAAAGAGGTTTTGTGCAGCAGATTTAGCTAATGTAATACATCATTTGATTTCTTGACTGCTGCTTCTGTGAGTGTTGATGGTAGACCCAAGCAAAATGAAGTTTTTGACAACTTTAATCTTTTCTCCATTTACCATGATGTTACTTACTGGCCAAGTGGCGAGGATTTTTGTTTTCTTTACATTGAGGTTCAACCCATACTGAAGGCTGTTGTCTTTGATCTTCATCAGTAAGTATTTTAAGTCCTCTTCATTTTCAGCAAGCAAGGTTATATCATCTACATATTGCAAGATGTTAATCAGTCTTCGTCCAATCCTGATGTCACATTCTTCTTCATATAATCCAGTTTCTCAATTATATGAAGCAATTTCTTGATTCAGATTGAATATGTATGGTAAAAGAATACAACCCTGGCACACACCTTTCTTTATTTTAAGTCATGTTCCCTTGTTCTGTTGGAATGAATGCCTCTTGGTCTATGTATAGGTTCCTCATGAGCAAAATTAAGAGTTCCAGAATACTCATACTTTGCAATGTTGTCCATAGCTTGTCATGATTCACACAGTTGAAGCCTTTGTATACACAATAAGGCACAGATAAATATCTCTCTGGTATTCTCTGCTTTCAGCCAAGATCCATTTGACATCAGCGATAATATCCTGATTCCACATCCTCATTTGAATTTGGCTTGAACCTCTGGAAGTTCCTTGTCAATGTACTGTTGCAGCTGTTTTTAAATTTTCAGCAAAATTTTACTTGCATATTATATTAATGCTATTGTCCAATGATTTCTGCACTCCATTGGTTCATCTCTCTTTGGAATGGGCACAAATATGGATCTCTTCCAAGCAGTTGGCCAGGTTTCAAATTTCTTGGCATAGATGAGTGAGTGCATCCAGTGTTTACTACTGGAAGTTGAGGCTTAAATGTTTTCCTCAGGTCTTTCTGAGCATGTTCTTACATTTTGGATATCTAACTCAATGTGCTTGCACATTTCATTATGATATTAGACTTTGTATTCTCGAAATGCTCTTTGAGATTTTTTGTTCAGTTCTTTTACCTTCTCATGTCTTCCATTTGCTTTAGCATCTCCAGTCTGGAGAGCAAGTTTCAGAGCCTCTTCTGACATCCATTTGGATCTTTTCTTTTTTGTCTCCTTAATCACCTTTTGCTTTCTTCCTGTATGATGATGTTCTTGTTTCATCCCACAACTCTTCTGGTTTTCTGTCATTAGTTTCTAATGCATCAAATCTGTTCTTTCTGAACTTTATCACTAGGTAAATGTGGCCTTTTAAAGTCTCAAATTATTGATTACTCTTAAGATGTAATCAATCAAGTTGGAGCCCTGGTGTGGCACTGTGAGCTAATGCACTGGACTTCAAGGTCGGTTTGAACCACAAGGTCAGCGGTTCAAGCTCACCAGCCACTCCCTGGGAACCCTACACAGGATCGCTATGGGTCAGAACCTACTTGATAGCACTTAACAACAACAACAAGGTGTTACTATCTTACTAGTGTTACTGTTCCCTTTACAGCCCTGTCTCTTGTTTGGTTAAGTCATTGGGGTGAGTTCAGTTCCCGATCTAAATCATGACTAAGGGTCATAGTCTGTGGGGTTCTGCCAGTCTCTACCTAATCAGTTAGCTGTATTGATTTTTGGGTGTTTTTTTTTTTTTTTTTTTTAATGATTTTGAGTTTTAGTCCATATTTTTCTCCAAATCTGTTCTCTTTTAATTCAATTTTCCATGAAGTCCCCTCGGAGTTCCACTCAGACATACAAGGGTTGCCATGAGTTGAATCAGTCTCCAACAGTAAGTTTGTTTTGTTTTGTTTACAAGCTATTTATGACATTGATTGACATTTTTACCCTGTCATAAACAAACTATACCTTTCAGACAAGGATACAACAATTTTACTGCAAAATGTGTTCCTACTTCACTGAATCTATGAACCTATATATTTCTTACCTGTTTATGAAACTGACTGAAAATGAACTTTACAAGTCAAAATAAACAACTGGTTTTATGGTTAATAAATTATGCAAAAGTAGATTACAGTCTAAAATTGAAAGGAGGTGTGATGGTTTAACTTACTTGCTTAGGAAAAAAATGAACTAAGATAAATTTAGTTTACTTCTATGAGTGTAACAGCGTCTAGACAACTCCCTCCTGTTTCTGTTCCTGGAATACAGGAGCTGAGAGGACACTGAAGCCACAGGGAAGGGCCTTTCCAGTAAGCCATCACTAGGACATGGCCATGCTCTGGTCTGGATGTTCTTGGCATTCAGGTGTGCTAACACAGCATTCCTCAGTGAGCTGCATGTTCCTAGGCTGAAAGAGCCAGCATGCTGCTGAAATGATCCAGGTACCTACCTGCTTCGATCCCTGAATCCTGACTGAGTTGCTCAGATAGATCCCTGAATCCTGACTGAGTAGTAGAACAAAGGTTCAGTTTGCAAGGCAAAGGTTTGAGGTCTTCTGCCCTTTTAAAATACGCATGCCAAACAACGCTCATTTTCAGTTAAATTTAGGTGTGTAACTACAAGGTTGGTGGTTCAAGCTCACCAGCTGCTCCTTGGAAACCCTTTATGAGGTTGCTATGGATCGGAACCAACTTAATGGCACTTAACAACAACAACAAAGCCCAACATGACTCTTAGTTTAAGATGCCAGTCTCATCCACAATGCCTTTTAGTAATTGCTCTGTGAGATGGGCTTTTCATCAGACTCACAGTGCTGCCGGGTCTGGAAGTCTGCATATGGGCAGCTTGAGAGGGTGGAGCTTTTCCATTCAAAGAGCAAAAGCTCTTATAACATTCTATTTTCAAACTATGATGCAAGTTGTTGATGTGCTCAGCTGCTATTGAAAGGTTGGGAGTTTCAGTTCGCCCAGAGGTGCCTTGGAAGAATGGTTTGGTGATCCACCTTTGAAAAATCACTCATTAAAAAACATATGGAACACAATTTTATTCTGACACACATGGGGTTACCATGAATTAGAATTGGCCTGAGGGCAACTGTTTTTCATTTAAAAAATATTTATTTGTAGACATTCTAATCTAATTTCAAATAATTCTAGTTACCTTAAGGGAGCACAGTGACTTCATATGATAGGTACTAGACTACAAACCACAAGGTTGGCGATTCAAGCCCACCAGCCACCCCACAGGAGAAAGATGAAGTTTTTTTACTCCCACAAAGATTTACAGCCTCAGAAACCCTATACAAGGGCACTGTGAGTCAGACCTGTCTCAGTTATACTTAATAACAGCAACCACAAATATGGCTAAGATTTTTTATAAAAGGAAAATAAAAAATTTTTGTAATAATGCAGGGAAATTGAAATCCTTATCTATTGCTGATAGGAAAGCAAAATGGTACAACCATTGTAAAAAAAATTAAATATATAACTACCAAATGATTTGGAGTCTTGGTGTGGCACTGTAGGATAAGCACTGGACCACAAAGTTGGTTTGAATCACTAGGCAAGCAGTTCAAACTCACCAGTCACTCCT